TTGAAAATGGAGTTCTGGCATTTGAAAAGGGAGTTCTGGCATTTGAAAAGGGAGTTCTGGCATTTGAAAAGGGAGTTCTGGCATTTGAAAAGGGAGTTCTAGCATTTGAAAAGGGAGTTCTAGCATTTGAAAAGGGAGTTCTGGCATTTGAAAAGGGAGAACTTTCTGCTATTTGTAAAGGGAGTTTTGGCATTCGAAAAGGGTGTTCTGCTATTTGTAAAGGGAGTTTTGGCATTCGAAAAGGGTGTTCTGCTAATTGAAAAGGGAGTTCTGGCATTCGAAAAGGGTGTTCTGCTATTTGAAAAGGGAGTTCTGGTATTTGAAAAGGGAGTTCTGGCATTTGAAAAGGGAGTTTGGAATTTGTAAAGGGAGTTCTTGTGGGGAGAGCACTGGCGCTCAATTGTTTAATATAAATATGTAGTCAAATGTCTAACGTACCATAACAAACAATATACTCTGAAATTCTTTCCAGTACATAAGGTATTTCACTGCCAGACTCTGAGTTCCTCTGTAGCAATTCATCAAGAGGCACACCAAACGTCTTTGTAGTATTGAGACCTGTACTACCTTGAAAATTGTAAATGTAAGGAAATTATTATTAAATTGATAAAGTTCAGCGGCTTTAGATTACAGAATACGGTACAGAGCCAAGATTCTCTGGGAAGAAGGGGTAACTATTTTTCCTTGGGTGGGCGGTGGGGCAGGGTTTGAAATAGCCTGTATTCGAATTGATGTCACAAGACAGTGTAGTTTGTCCGAATATTACCACAATTCTCGCGGGCTTAACAATAGAATATAGTTCATTTGCATTCATTTGAAAGTCAATTTCAGTTTGTTTGTCCGACATTTGTGCTATAAATAGCAACCTTAATCTTTCAACCTTAATCTTAAAGTTCTAGTGCTAGGCTGTTCATGGTTTACATTTGTATATTTAAACGTCATATCAAGCTTTTTCAAGATTCAATTTCAATTCATGTAAATAACGCACAAGTTTCAAAGAGTAATTCTTGTTAAAAAAGTCAACATGCTTCCCTCACACTGTTTGGGCAACGGGAATAGCTGCCCCCTGCCCCAATGACTCCAGCCCCAATGACTCCAGCACCAAGGGCTGCATATACAGGCTATTTACAAAGCCTCACCTTCATGTTTTCGTTTACTCAATGGGGATTTGATCATCTTCTTCATTTTGGCCATTTGCTCTTCGATACCACTTCTCGTAGAACTAGTAGAGTACTCCTATAACACAGGCAAGTGAAATTAACTGTCAAGTAGTCCAGTAAGCGATTAAAAAGCAAGGGAGGACATATTATTTTATTCCATGCAGTGCCAGAAAATGTCCGGTTCGCTGTCCAGAAATTTTTAACAAAATATCTTTGCAATGAAAATTTTTCACATCTTGCAGAAAATTTTTTGTCATTTCATCTGGAAACGTGTCTAAATTTTCTCATATTTTTCAGGTACGGTAGTTGAAACTCTCTCAATCCATGTCATTCTGATAAAATATACTTATTTACATAAGTCGAGATTGCCTTGTGCCAAGATTGAAGCTAAATTCTCTGAAATCCACATATGCAGGACGGGTAAATTTATACTTGACTTGCATACAAAATTTTTATTTTTGAATTTTGCCGAGAAATATATTTTTACGCCTGATTCTATGTATGTAATAAGCTTTGGTGGGCAAGAGGTTTCGGTGGTGCAATTATCAGTCCATTTAGCACCTTTTAGTGATGCGCCGATATCCATATCGGTGTATCGTATCGGCTTAATAGAAATATCAGTGACTTTTATAATTTACGTGGTGTTTCCACAAACAAAAAGTATAATATTATATGTTTTATCACCATGCAATCCTACAAAGAACTTAATCTTGTTATTGATATTACCAGGGCTGCAAATTACTGTCGGACATCGGACAATGTCTGACTAAATTTGGAAAATGTCCGAGCAAAAGTAATTTTGATCGGATATTGGGCCGATCAAAAAAATATATTGTCACATTATACATTTTTTTGCCGTGACAAAATCCGATTGCAAATTCACTCAATTTGCATTTTGCAATACAATTTACGAGGCATTTTAGCATTTTACTTAATGTTGCGCCGGAATGTCTATACATACTTGTCTTGTGCCTTATATATATCTTGTGACGTATATATATATATATGTCCGACCAAATTCAAGTTATGTCCGATCAAAATTAAAAGTGGTCGGACAAATGTCCTGTCAAGACAAATATTTATTTGCAGCCATGTATTACTGATATTACAAACTGTTATTAAATATTAATGATTGGTCATAGTTGCAGTTCAATAGTTATTTTTATTACAAATAGTCACTGACATAGTTATATACTGGTTTGTTGAATGCACTGGCAGCATTTCATTTGATATTTTCAGTTATTTAGAAACAAATGAATTGAATTAAATTCAAAAGTATTAAAGTAAAAGTGTCATGATGTCATCTTTGAATTTTGTGAAATGACATACAATATCGGTATCATGCTTGCGCAAAATATCGGCCCTTCAATATCGGCTATCGGGGGAATTTCCATATCGCAGGGCTCAAAACTTGAAATTTTTATCAGTATCCAAGTGGATACCAGCATCATAGAATCTAGTATCCATCCTTGAAATATAGTAACCCAGATTTGGATACTAGATATTCTATTTCCAGTATCTAAGCAAGGCAAAATTTTACCTTGCAACCAGGCCTTCAGTTGCTGAGCAAAAACCAGGCCTTTAGTTTCAATAATAAAAATATGTATTGAAATTCGAAAAAATTGAAAATAACACACTGCGGCAGTACGAAAGAAAGCACCATTTGTGAAAATTTTTTTTTTTAAATATTCTGCCAAAATCCGTAGACATTGAAGTTCGGAAACATGCCAAACGTCTAGATGATTATCTACTATCGCAATTTCTAAGTTTTCCTAGTATCCAGTTGGGATACTGAGCTTATGATACCCAGTATCCAAAATTAAAATCTGATATCCTGTGGATATCGGGATACCGCAAGTTTCGAGCCCTGATATCGGTGCATCACTAGCGCCTTACACTTCTGAGATTGTGCATGGGTTCGATTCTTGCTGCGGACTCATGAAACTTAGTCAGTCAACGCTCTACCGAAAGTTGTGGGTTTCCTTCCACAGGGAATGTTGACAGGGTGGGTTGGGATTAGCCCCCCAACTGACCCTTCTACTAGGACTGTTCGGTATACCGATATACCAAAAATATCGGTATTAAATCAATATCGGTATATCGATACCGGATATTCAGCAATACCGATATACCAAAATTACCAAAATTTCCGATAAACCGGAATTTTTCAGTATACCGTGTTACATTTACCAACTATATGGCAAAACCATAACCTTTATTTTACTACTGAATGGCAATTCAAAGAACTTTCTACTGAAATGATTTAGATTTCGAAGTAGCTTCAAAATTATCGTTTTCCCTTCTAGAATTACTCAAAATTTCCTTCAAATTTCCATTAAAGAATTTTCCTTTATAATTATCAAAGGAAAACCGGTATACCGATAATATAGGTGTAATTTTTTCGGTATACCGATACCGGAAATTTCTCATACCGAACATTCCTGCCTACTGATACCGGAAATTTCTCATACTGAACATTCCTACCTACCGATACCGGAAATTTCTCATACCGAACATTCCTACCTTCTACTGTGACTAGTGTTCCATGATCAGACATGAGTCATAAAGTGGCTGTCATAAAGTGGCTGCCATAGGCACCCTTAGAAAGCCTTTGACTCGATCGGGTTTAGCTGCGACCTTCGCAATTCGGCTTTGCTCTCAGGTCCAAGTTAGGATGATTAGCTAGCTCACCCCATACAAACAAGCAGCCCCCAATTATTATGCAACATACACAAAAAGTATTAAGACTTACTGATTTTTGAAATTTATCCAAAGGATCGCTCGGACTCCTCAAGTATTTCATATCACCATTCTCTCTTCCCTAGGGCAGTTACGTCACAAACCAAGAGCTTGAATCCAACTCTTACGATGCACAATTAAGTCCTATAGAATCGTCTCTTGAATAGCTAGCCTTTAACGACGTCCAACAATAGCCCACTGGCTTAACGGCTAAATAATTGAGCAATTAGCAATATCTATGCTGCAACACAGCTGTCAATATCAGAGTTTATAGAACTGTTATGCTATCACTGGCATACTCTTGAAACACTTCTGTCAAAAACTTGCACAGTTCTTTTGAATTTGGAGTATAACGATGCTCAAAATTTATGCATAAAATACTGTCGGGTTTTGAGAGCCAATCTTTGAATCCGATATATATGTTATTGATATGAATAGCTATAGAACTCCTCTAAAACGCCTCCAATTTGGTATATATACACTTTAAATATAAGTCCCAGTTTGGTTAATATAGACAGATGAATTTCAGGCAAACTATATATAAGCTTCAAGTCGACAATATCCTATGACACGAATATAAAACCACGCTATGAAACCAATTTCTTTGTTTTGAAATATTTAACACAGCAAATTTCTTCCAAGGCTGTAATTTCCAACATTCGGTGGCAAAATTTCACGCGATCCTTGGAGGGAAACCATTTCAATGCCTTTGAGATTATATACGATTCATAATTTCAAACACGTTGTCTAGTTGCCAAAACAAACCCGAAGTTTGGGAAACTCAATTGAAATCAGATTACAAACGGAACCAATTATGGCACACCGCGGTTTCCTTGAAAAAAATACAGAAGCCTTTTACCAATCCTGCAAAGAATAACACAATTTTACTACGTTTTAAAACTACTGTTGTTTGCAAGGTGTAAAAAAATGACGCCGAAAATGAAAGCTTGGCTGTCAATGTGGTCGCTCTTGCAAAGCTATCAGAATTCAGAAAATTGCATTGTTCGTTAGTTAGTGTTTAAAAAAGTGAATTTCTAAGCTTAACTTTAGGTCTTTGCATATGAAAATACCGTGCAAATACTGTTTTAAATTGAGTTTTGCTTGTTGCTACTTGCAACGTCAAGTCATGCACTAGATTAAAGACACATTTTGACAATTCACCTTCATATTTTCCAAATTTTAGCATACAAAATAATAGCCAATGCACATAAGAGCATTACCTGAGCTTAGAATGGTTTTGTCTCTTGTTCAAAACCAAAATACAATCAACTGAAACCACAAGAAAAACAAGTTTATGCTAAAAGCTCCAATCCAGTTGCGAGATGTAATTTCATATGCCGCTCCGTCGCCGCAAATAGCCCAACTTTAGGCGAGGAAAAAAACAGCTAAAAGTCACTTGATCTTCTCCGATTTGCAGCTGCCGACACATAAACAAAAGGGGTTTCCTCTTCAAGTTTAACGAAAACACAAAGTACTTCCAAACGTGTGAATTATCAAATTTTAAAATGTAAACAAGCTCCCTCACTCACGAGTTGTCAGCCATTGATGATACTTGAGCAGGTAGGCCGATACCGGCCAATCACAGCATGCCAACGCTCGCACGTGACTCAAGTGGCAACGATTATATAATCAACGGTGATTGGTTAAAATTGATGACCACACCTCCAATGTAATGTTTACAATGAATAATAATTAGGTGTAGCGGAATAAATTATCATATTTATGTCCTCTGATCTCGCAATTACCTGGACTAAAGAGTAAAAATTTGTTATCATCTTGTAACAAGGTTGATGAGGCCAACAGACTCGCAACAAGTTGTTCCAACAAGTCTGATATCGTCTGCAGTTATTAGAGACCTTACGATTTTAGGACGGCAACGGCTGCCAATACAATAGACATTTGAAAAGAATTGAGTAATTACAATATATGAATAATCAGTTTAGACATTGTTCTCGCTCTGTTTACAACGCTAAATCACAGATTTTCACGTCTTGATACAACGGCTGCATTCCAAGCCACAACAAGTGCAACTTCAAACTGGGTTTAGCAGAACTCTACCCAACTATAAAACCCATGTCTTCAACTTCTAAAACTGTATTAAATTCATATGATTGATAATATACAACGAACTATCTTTACTACCATTTATTTAAAGACTTTGAAGGAGTTTGTTTTGGTCGTAAGGTCTCTATTAACAAGTTGATGACAACAAGCTCGTGGCAACTTGTTACGAACAGCCTGTATTAGTCTTGTTGGAACAACTTGTAGCAAGTCTGCTTCCGCCATCAACCTTGTAACAAGATGATAACAACTTGTTCCAGACTTGTCACAACAACTGGGAACAGCCGAACACATCCTGAACCAGCTTGAAAACAACCTTTTCATCAGGTTATTAAGAAAGGATTTCTAAAAGATTTACAGTAATAATTAAAATAAATTCTTTATAAAAATCCAGTATAATTAAAATAGACGTTTCGTTTGTCTTCATCATTTTTTCGTTTCTTCTTCCACGGCTTTTTCGGTGGCTCTTCTATAATGACCATTCTCTCGTCCTTAGAATGGTTTCGGATGCGCTCTCGAAGCTCGCCATTCGCCTGTTTATTGTCATTCACGGTAAAATTTATTGGAGGGGTAAAATTTGTGGTGGATGATAATGCCTCCAAGTTAATCTGAAATGTCAAAAATATCTCTTAGATAACGCTACTCAACTTTATCAAATTCACGCGATAGGAAATACCGTATAGGACAAAATTCGTCAATGAATTGAATTACCCTTCCTCCTTTTCCTCTTCTTTTCCTTTTATTTTTCTTTTTCTTGGCTTCTCCATTTTCTGTAGTCAAGGCCTGGGGAATATAATAAAATATGAATATTAAATCTAAAAATATGGACCAACACGTTTGAGATATCTTTTTCAGGTAGTTCAGACACAAACCACGACAACTTATTGTAGAATACTACCTACACTGGACCACCACGTTTGAGATATCTTTTTCAGGTAGTTCAGACACAAACCACGACAGCTTATTGTAGAATACTACCTACACTGGACCACCACGTTTGAGATATCTTTTCAGGTAGTTCAGACACAAACCACGACAGCTTATTGTAGAATACTACCTACACTGGACCACCACGTTTGAGATATCTTTTTCAGGTAGTTCAGACACAAACCACGACAGCTTATTGTAGAATACTACCTACACTCGACCACCACGTTTGAGATATCTTTTTCAGGTAGTTCAGACCCCAACCACGACAGCTTATTGTAGAATACTACCTACATTGGACAAACACGTTTGAGATATCTTTTTCAGGTAGTTCAGACACAAACCACGACAGCTTATTGTAGAATACTATCTACACTGGACCACCACGTTTGAGATATCTTTTTCAGGTGGTTCAGACACAAACCACGACAATTTATTGTAGAATACTACCTACACTGGACCACCACGTTTGAGATATCTTTTTCAGGTACTTCAGACACAAACCACGACAGCTTATTGTAGAATACTACCTACACTGGACCACCACGTTTGAGATATCTTTCTCAGGTAGTTCAGACACAAACCACGACAGCTTATTGTAGAATACTACCTACACTGGACCACCACGTTTGAGATATCTTTTTCAGGTAGTTCAAACACAAACCACGAAAGCTTATTGTCGAATACTACCTACACTGGACCACCACGTTTGAGATATCTTTTTCATGTAGTTCAGACACAAACCACGACAGCTTATTATAGAATACTACCTACACTGAACCCTAGCGCAATAAACCTACAACTCACATTATTGAACTCTGCGGTGCCGAACGTTTGTTGTTGTTTAAGGAATTTGTTCTTCTGTGCTTTTCTTTTTTTTTGGCCAGGTTTATTCTTTTTCTTTTTTATATTTGTTTCCGTGGCTTCGTTTTGAAACAGATTTTGGTTTTGGGAATTTCTTCGTTTGCGTTTTCCGTTGCGATTCATTAAGTCAAAATCTACCGACATCAAAGGTGTTAGGGGTAGGTTTGGCATGGCATGATTAAAGTCTGTAAGAAAGATTTTGAAATCTCAAACTCATTAATAATTCATGAGCAAATTAGCGAATGAACTCACCCTAATTCGTCACATGATTGAGGCTGGATACCGCAAGGAAACACGCTAAAAATCATATACCATCACTGTTGTTAGATGAAAAACGGTTTTCATCTAATAACTGAGATCCTAATTACAAATTCAAGTCAAAACACAACAATATACTATAATAATATATATAAGCCAATGAAATGTTTTCGTTTGAGATGTTGTATAAACAACTCGTTTCTCGTGTTTCATCAGGGGACCAAACACTCGAAAACAATAAAACACTCGCGCTTCGCGCTCGTGTTTCATACAGTTTTCTCGTGTTTGGATCCCCTGATGAAACACTCAAACTCGTTGTTTACATATAACTTGAAAAATGTTCAAGTACAATTTCGTGTAAGAGAATGTTAGATGAATACGCGGGCAAGAGATGGAGGTCAATAGTGGCGATGATGATGGTGGTGATAACGGTGCTGGTGATGTTGCTACTGTTGCTGACAATGAGGTTGTTGTTGCTGATGATTCTGCTTCTCAGAATGCTACTGATGACGATGCTAATGCTGCTCTTGCTGCTGCTGCTCCTGCTGATGATGTTGCTGCGCCTGATCGCAGATTAAAAATACAACAATAATAATCTAATCTGTGCCCTTGTGCTGCTGCTCTTGTTGACGCTGCTGTTGATAATGCTGATGTTTCTGCTTCTAATGATGCTACTGATGACGATGACGATGACGACATGTACACGTTAGTAGTTTCATTTTGCTCAAAACACAATATTTTTTCAAAAATAATTACAAGATAGGTTTACTAATGCAAAATCCGCGCTAAAAACGTCAATAAATATCGGGCTGTTGTGAGTTTGCTGTTACTCGTAATGAGCGTCAACATGGCGCTATATTGGGGTAAAGGTGGTATATTGTGATTGTCATATCTTCTTAACGAGTTCGGTGACCCCAACTTTTTTGTGTGAATTTACTTTAAGTATATCATAAA